GTGTGTGTGCGTGTGCCTGAGTGCGAGTGTGTCTCTGATTTAATTAGATGAATAATAATGAAGCCTAGATTAAATCCCCCAGATGTCTCAGCTGTAGTACCCCCACCTCAACCTCCATTACCATGGCAACGGGATGACTTCCCCCTGCCAATTGGACTCTAACCAGAGCAGCTATTATGGGCTGCAGGAGATGGGGACTGAAGGGAGTGGTGGCAAAGATAGAGGGGCCTACTGGCCAGTAACCTTCCTTCCTTCTCTCCTAGCTTAGCTCCAGATGGCCGCGTTTCCACTCTTAGCCACCCGCCGCCATTTTTTCGCCGAGTTATTCACTCTCCCCGTGTGTCTCCCCCCCCTTAGTGCCGCCCCTCATCCAGCCCTTCGACATCCCCTCTACCTCGGTGGGGAAGCTCATGTACATCGCCTGCGTGGTGTCGTCCGGGGACATGCCCATACGCATCACCTGGCACAAGGACGGCCAGCTCATCATCCCGGGCTCCGCCTCGGGCGTGGCGATCGAGACCAAAGAGTTCATGAGCTCCCTGCAGATCTCCAAGGTGACGCTGAAGCACAACGGGAACTACACCTGCATCGCCAGCAACGCCGCCGCCACCGTCAGCTGGGAGAGGCAGCTGATCGTCACCGGTGAGGGGTGGTGAACCAGAGCAAAACTCTGATTTAATGCTTCCTGTTGTTTTCTTTTGAGGAAGCAAATGTGAGGTGATGGATAAACCCAACTACGTGTTATCGGTATTAAAAACTAACCATGAATAGGAACCAAAGTCTTAAACGTAACCAATCACAATTGGAAGAAATGTTTGTTTATTTATTTATTTATTTATTTATTTATTTATTTATTTATTTATTCATTTATTTGAATAGGGACAAAGCACATTAATGAACATCAGTATAAAAACAAATGTAAATATGCCGGATTATAGCTACAAAGCTAGTTTTCATCCGTAGTCCCTAAGAAGGAAGCAAATGTAAGGTGATGGATAAACCCAACTACGTGTTATTAAATTTTTTAAAAGTAACCATGAATAGGAACCAAAGTCTTAAACGTAACCAATCACAATTGGAAGGAATGTTTATTTATTTATTTTATTTATTTATTTATTTGAATAGGGACAAAGCACATTAATGAACATCAGTATAAAAACAAATGTAAATATGCCGGATTATAGCTACAAAGCTAGTTTTCATCCTTAGTCCCTAGGAAGGAAGCAAATGTAAGGTGATGGATAAACCCAACTACGTGTTATTCAATATTAAAAACTAACCATGAATAGGAACCAAAGTATTAAACGTAACCAATCACAATTGGAAGAAATGTTTATTTATTTTATTTATTTGAATAGGGTCAAAGCACATTAAAGAACATCAGTATAAAAACAAATGTAAATATGCCGGACGATAGCTACAAAGCTAGTTTTCATCCGTAGTCCCTAGGAAGGAAACGCAACTATGTGTTATTCAATTTTAAAAACTAACCATGAATAAGAACCAAAGTCTTAAACTTAACCAATGACAATTGGAAGGAATGTTCATTTATTTATTTTATTTATTTATTTGAATAGGGACAAAGCACATTAATGAACATCAGTATAAAAACAAATGTAAATATGCCGGATTATAGCTAGAAAGCTAGTTTTCATCCGTAATCCCTAGGAAGGAAACCCAACTATGTGTTATTCAATTTTAAAAACTAACCGTGAATATGAACCAAAGTCTTAAACGTAACCAATCACAATTGGAAGAAATGTTTATTTATTTGAGTAGGAACAAAGCACATTTATGAACATCAGTATAAAAACAAATGTAAATATGCCGGATTATAGCTACAAAGCTAGTTTTCATCCGTAGTCCCTAAAAAGGAAGCAAATGTAAGGTGATGGATAAACCCAACTACGTGTTATTAAATTTTTTAAAAGTAACCATGAATAGGAACCAAAGTCTTAAACGTAACCGATCACAATTGGAAGAAATGTTTATTTATTTTATTTCTTTGAATAGGGACAAAACACATTAATGAACATCAGTATAAAAACAAATGTAAATATGCCAGATTATAGCTACAAAGATAGTTTTCCTCCGTAGTCCCTAGGAAGGAAACCCAACTATGTGTTATTCAATTTTAAAAATGAACCACGAATATGAACCAAAGTCTTAAACATAACCAATCACAATTAGATGAAATGTTTATTTATTTATTTGAATAGGGACAAAGCACATTAATGAGCATCAGTATAAATACAAATGTAAATATGCCAGATTATAGCTACAAAGCTAGTTTTCATCCGTAGTCCCTAGGAAGGAAGCAAATGTAAGGTGATGGATAAACCCAACCATGTGTTATTCCATTTTAAAAATCAACCATGAATAGGAACCAAAGTATTAAACATAACCAATCACAATTGGAATAAATGTTTATTTATTTTATTTATTTATTTGAATAAGGACAAAGCACATTAATGAACATCAGTATAAAAACAAATGTAAATAT